TATTTTTGTTGTAAAACCATCTTTGTGTAAAATTATATACTTATAAAGAATTGCCGAACTGGAAACTGATTTTATCGCAGAACTGGTATTATTTCAGCGCGATACACATTGCAATTAAAATAACATTTTGATTTTTTCGCAATTATTTGGTCTTTTATACACTATATAAAAGTTTAGTTTTGGCAAGCGGACTTTCATAAACAACCTTACATTCTAAGGATGACCACCGTCCTTTACGATCGCTTTACTTTTAGAAATTAGGCGATAACCATGGATAATTTTTATATTTTTATCACCGTCACTGTCACCGGAAATAGGCATTCTTTAGGTTTCCGTTCAAAAACGAAATTAGTTCACGGACGTCCAACACGCGTGACGCGTCCAGTGAATTACCAGTTTGTTGTTCATAAGACGATGGCTACGTATTAAAAGCAGGTAATTAGCGGTACGAATGTACCTTTCATGAGGTCGAGTCGATATCTTCGATGTAGAAACCCATTAGGCTTGCTCTTCGCACGGATCTTTTGCTCGTATCCTTAAGGACAATTTTCGTGAATGGCGCGCTTATTTATCGCTTGGAAACCTTTCGAGTCATTGGTTTGAGTTATCGCTATGAGTCATCCTTGATTACCCGAAGTTTGCATTTCTGCAATTTTATTAATAATTGTGTACGTTATTCATAGCGATAACACGCTGATAGTGAGTGATATGAGGCTTGACATAGTTATACTGCGCAAAAATATCGGGAAAAGGACATAGTTAGATGTTCATCGTCCATGGGACAATCGGAAAAGTGTTGATCTTGATAACAAGGATATGTATTTTTTTATTAATATAGAGTAGTCTTGTACCCTTGATTTAAAAATCAATGAAAGTATGATTATATTAGTCATAAATATAACGATGAAAACAATAAAGTTACAAATTAACATTTTACTTATACTTATACATCTATCGTTGTAACTTAAATCCATTTTTAACAACGTGTAGATAGGTAATTACATTTTATTTCTCAGAGTTAACTACGATAATTTAACAGAAATTTAAATCACGTTTTGATTATTAAAGCAATGTATATAAAAAATTTTAACGTACGGGATAAATGATATGGTAAAAACGATGCAAGTGTATAAATTACTTTAGTAATAACGAATGCAATAACGCAGAAGATAATTCTCATGGTAATTACCATCAATTAACCTTTTTTTTTTCAACAATATTAAACTGCTGATGACGACAGTTTCTGCTTCCGTGTGTTGTATCATAAAACGGAGTTGAGCGTGTTCGATCAATCTACAAGTAAGATCGTGTAGATGATATCTCTGATTTTTTGCATTCGTTCACGTTGCATCAGATGCGTCAGGTTATTCATACATTCGCGACTGTAAAAGGATTAGCGATAAAAAAAATCATTGCCCATTACCCTGAAAACTATTTCAAGCACCGAAGCCATGAATGCTAATCGCAGCTTCCACGGGACAGCTTTGTTTGTCAGCCTCGTTAGACGTTAAACAAATTAATGAGCCATTCAATGCCGTAGCATCCTCCACAGACGTAGCATCCTGGATAAACATCAGATTTTGCTTTTCTTTTATCGCTTTTTCCGACTGTATTCCGTTTAATGACTAATGGCCTTGTTATACTTTCATAAGTATCATTACCGTTCCCGTAATTGATTATACAATTTTACGACAATGCTTCGTTCACGGTAATTGGCACGTCCTCGATCGATTTAATCGGGATTTTCCCTTCGGCCCGACTTAATTCGCTTGGTCGACCGTCAGAAAGCAGATCGAAATCGCGAATTCGAAAATGTACCCAAGGTCAGTTTCAAGACAAAGTAAATAACCGTTATCTTTAATAAATCGTTTGCCATATTTCAAAAATAAGTCTTTCTCTTCTTTTCTACAAACATTTTGTAATTATATAAGGTAAGACAATCTTTCTGCAGTTCGCCGCAACATTCTAATTACAAATGCTAATAAAACACATTATTGTTTGTATAATGGAGCGTCTCGTTGTCATTCTTTTTTTTCGCATAATTGCGAAATATCATCATAAACAATATAGCTTAAGACTTAAGAGAACAGCTGTTGATTACAATAAATGTCCGCAAAAATAAGAATATCGCGAGCTAGATTGTCAGTATATACATACGCAATAATCCTCTTATTACGAGCAATTACGGAATCGCACCTGCTACAATAAAAGAATTATTGCGTATCTAGATCGATATTTTGGATTGCATTAGCCCTATCTTTGCAAACCTTGATAAACGAATGTGGGGAACCGCGCGTGTAAGCGGCAGACAGATAAATTTTAAATCGCGAGCGAATTAATCGGCGCAATGGATCGGCGCCGTAAATCTCCCCTCGAAGTACCAGGGATGCCGCAGTCGCGTTTGCAGAGAGAGAGAGGAAGGCGAGGAGAAAGAGAAGGAAACGCGGCGCGGCAAGAAGCGCGTGCCGACACGCTTCAGAGCGAAATATCTCTCGGGCGAGTGACCTCGTTAATTAAACCGAATTTAGGCGACTGAGGTCACCGTTGTGAGCCAGTCGCAGCAAGGTCCGAGGGAAACCTTCCCTCAGACTGTAATGCTGCAGGCCGGATACTAGCCGGATATCGGAAGACATTCTGCCGCCGTTCTCTCCTTGCGCGCGATGTCACGGCTAATTGGAGGCACGCTAATTAGCAGGTTAAGGTGAGGAATTCCATTTTTAACGAAGGTCAAGAAATCACGGCGGCTGGTCACGCGACGGGAACCACGTAGATGCTGCATGGCGGGCGCTTTCTCAACGCGAGGCACGGATTGCGCGAACTTGCCAGTCTGGAACGATTGCCGCAGCGCGACTATGATAAATGGGTCAGATATAGTTAGCGTTTGTAACGACGGTAATTAAATCCTCAGGTCTATGTTGGCGTTGATTGCCCGGAAAAGTAAATTGTAAGCTGTCTCGCGTATGGTATACGTTGTTTCGTTCGTTGCTCGATCAGCGGAATTATTACAGCACGATCGCGCTCTCGCTAACTTGCTGTAAGATTCGCGTTCTTTGTCGAATGGTTTCAAGAAATAAAGGTATCTCTCAAGAGACGCGGATATCAGCTAGAAACCCCCTTTTCAAAATAATACAAAACTACTCGTGTATCGCGATAACGCTGTCGTTATTGTTATCAGGAGTACGTTAATATACAAAAATGCCTTTTCTCAAGGCAAGACATTCGCAAAGTTACGTAAAAAGATAAGGTTAATTTTTCCTTTCTAATAACACATTCGCGGCCACGTGTGCAGCCTATTATCGCAATTATTGTACGCGCGGATGTCATATGTGCGACGGACATTTTTTTTGTGTCGGACGTTACGAGGCATCTTCAGAGAACAGTATATTACAGTATCTTCGTAAGCGGTCAATTATACGAGAATTAAATACAGTATTACAATAATGATTATGCGATCGATCGACGCTATAAATGTTAACAAGCAATCATACAAGCGCGACTGTCGCATCCTGGCTGTTTCTCGGATCCGGCGAATAATTTAAACTTAATAACCAAATTAATCTTGATCTAAATAAGACTTTTATTTCTTTATAATTTTTTTCTATAATAGAGATATATTTATATAGTATCTGTGGAAGTTTTCATAATTTTATCAAGCGTAATTTAGTGGGGAAATTAATGGCGCACGATTAAAAGAATATCAGGTTCTGATGGAGATAACGATTTTGGAATTTTGACGTTAAAGACGCGCCTTTAATAGTCAATTGCTTTAAAGAAAGGGCGTTCGGCAATTCGAGATATTTGCATGCCAAGACAACGTTCTGCAACACCAGTTGACGTCATAATGCCGCACTCACGGAACAGAGATCCGGATTCCGATCGAGAGCATGATGCGATAGGCATTGAGACGTTATGTCTGGAACATACATTAAGTATTCGCATGCATTATTTTACCATAGAAGATTGCGCCGGATAATTTGCCGTCTCTATGATCGAGCGGCGAGAGAAAAGTTCTTTGTCGCGAAAAAAAGTAGTGTGACTCAACTGAGATTAATCATAATTTGCATTCTTATTTCCTCCTTCGTTTTTATTTCACAATATATCACTGAGCGATTCCCTTCCTTCTTATCTCTGTTTTTCTTACGCATATGCAAGCACGGGTGTTTGAATTCTTCTTTTCAAAGTTTTCAAATAATTCAATTAGGTACATAAAGACCTGAGTTGCTTTAAAATTGAAAATTCTTGAAAGTCTTGAACGTCTTGAGAGAAGATCTTTCTTCAAAAGCAAATATGTAAAACATATATTTAAAATAAAATTGTTATCTACATATCAAATGAAGAATTAATTAAAATAATAATGTAAAGAAAAATATATTTTTAAGACATCGAAAATTTTTTCAAGACTTAATATATTAAAAAATTTTTTAATATATTCAAGAGTTCTAAGACTTTTAAAAATTGTTTTCTTTTAAATAACATTCAAAATAATTTTCGTGACATATTCAAAATGATTCTGTTTCGAGTGCAGTTTCACCGCAATATAATCTAATTTTCGCAACAAAGTTACTGTGTTTTTGTTCATGTTGCGTATTTGTCAGGTTACATAAGAAATTTTCTTAATTTCGAGACATGGGATTAATAGGAATACTTTCGTTGCCGCTCAAATGCATCCTTCCTGCTTCCTCGTCGTGATTCACGGCATCCAAGTAAAAAATATAAAATGTCGAATCGATCGAAAGGCGATCCGCGAGGCGGTCCCGTTCGCCTTTCTCGCGAAGCTGCTCTCGCATAATTTCTTGTCCGCGGTATCCCCCGCGGAGAAGCGAAGGTCACCTTGACCATCGCTCGCGCCCCTCAGGAGGGTAATGATTCGGGCGGGGGCGCACGAGGGGGGAACAGGGGGACAGACGCGGCTCCAACGCGACGTTGGCCTCCAACGTCGACATATATAAGTCCCAGGATCGGCCCCCACCGGGAGTTAAACTCTACTGCTAAGACGGGCAAGCAGCCTGTGAGAGTCTCTGACACCTAGGATCCCGCCGTCACCACGAGGAAACTACTCCGCCACTTTTGACGATCCGCACCGTGGTAGGCGTTTCTTCCGGAGCCCCCCTACCATCCGCGAGCCCGCGACTCCGAGAACGTACCCCCGCGTGGCAGGTGGCACACCACCGTTGCGCGGTACTCCTAGACTCGCCGCTTAACGAGAGTGCAACTGCAGTTGGCGGCCGACCTGTGCACGGCTCACGGGGAAACGCGGAGAACGCGCTCGTTCCGACTCGCCGCAGTTTCGGGGGAGATCCAGAGAAAGAGAGATGAGGATCGTAAGTACGATGTGCCCATGTGTGATACCGTACGGTACGCTTCGCGAACGAGCGAGCCATCGCGCGCGAACGAATAACGGCAAGGGACCGGTAGAGACAGTCCTCCTGAGGGTCTCGCTATATTTTCGCGATACGTGCGGAGTCGCGAGTGGTCGAGAGTGTTTCGTTCTGGACCAGTGAGATCGTGCCGTTAGATCTTAGTGAGGTCTTGAAGTTTTGTGAGCAACAGCGATATGCAAACATTTTCGAATGCACGCGCATCTTTATGAGAGAATAGAGAATTTGGAAGTTTACTGACTTTTACACGGCTTTATAAAATTCGTCGTCAACGTCACATGTAACTTAAATACATGGATCCAATAATATGTAGATCACATTTTCCCAATGCGACGTTTCGCTTTAAATTAATAAATTTTATAGACGATGATTGTATTAGGCCGCTTAAACACCTTATCACCACATTAAAGAATCAGATCCAGACTTCGTATCGGGTTCATCGTTCGCGTAGGTAGCATTATGTTGGAGGCGGACAATGAATGAGAATCTTGTTTACATCGCGCGTTTCGACGTAAAAGCAAAAATATGTATCTCCAACTACTTCGACTCGACTTTCTACGTTCTTATTTCCGGAACCTTGGGTTTGGTCATAAAGTAAAGCATGCTTTTCTATATACGTTTATACGGTCGGTTCACTCCTGGCATCTGCCTAATAATTCTCATTGCAATTAAAGATATGGAAGAAAAGGAATTTTGCCTTGATTCACGTTAATTGAACAGAATTTTAAAACGATGTATGTGCTGCCGCGGTGTAATCGTTGTTAAAATGCATCTGCCACGATTATACTAGATTTCGAACTTTCATAAATCAACGTTTAAAGATTTTAGCAGACAGGTAGCTGATAATTTCAATTAGCTACAATGGATGGCGTTGAATAATTATTTAGAAACGAGAAATCTCAAGTGCAATTATTTAAAAAAAGAAACTACCGTTACATTGCAGATCGACTTGTTCTGTGATAATTACCCGTACTACAATGTTCTCCTTTAAGATTCACGTGTGTTAATTACAAGCTGCAGATAAATTAACGAAAGAGATCGATTAGCTCTCATAGGGAAGAGAGATGCGCGCGGAGATAATAGCTGCAGCGAATGAAATCCGCAAACACCGTGTAACAGTTCATTCACGAGATTCTAGCCCGTGGCGAGACAGGTCTGCGGCCTTGCCCCGGGCCGTCCGATCGTTTGTTGGTGAACCGGCGTGTCCGGCAAGCTTTTAGATCGTTCACATGTTACGTAATGCAACAAGAGTAACGTCGTTGCTAGGAAGACTCTTCCTTGATTATATTTCTAAGAATTATCACCCGGCTCTAACTTATCTCTTTCGAAATAAAAATGAAGAATTGTTATTCGTATTTCTTGTACGCTTATATTGGTAAGGGCATTACGAACAATTTGTGTTAATTAAGATAATTCAAATTATTTATTTTGATTGCAATTTTAATTATTCTCAAAATGATCTGTGCTCACATTTTAGGTTTCATTACTCTCGATTCCTTGATTTATTAAAATTTCTTATTGAAATTATAGAAATTAAGGGTTACACAAAACGATATATAAAAGGCGCTGTTAGATATCTTTATTTCTACACGTGTTACACGTTACGACATTCTCTTCAAGTTTTTTATATACATGAAAGTTATAGAAAAAATACATAATTTCTATACTACATCACACATTATGGTGATATTGTAAAAAGAGAAAGAAATTGTATCAGATTTATATCGCCGGGAAAACTAAGTAAGAAGTGCCATTACCGTCTCAAGTGGTGCTATATTATTATTATTGATCCGGTTTTTTAAGTCTACTTAAAAAATGTACGTACTTATTAAATAATTATTAAAGTGTAATATGCTTATATAATGTAGAAAATATAAAGAATTAAAAGCGAAAAGTTATGCAATTAAGTTAAGCCCGCGGAACGTGATTTGATCTAATTTATAAACTGTGTTGCACATGGAATGAGCATGGAATATTGAGCATCTCTGACTAGTATCGGGTCCAGTTGGCTTGAAATTATGCGCGGTAACGTTAACGATGTTTTCCAAACATCATTTTTTCAAATAAATCGCGAGAAAGTGGTGCTAATAATCTGGACTGGTTATGCAAACTATTAGTGAAAATTTCGTAACGTTGCGGTGTGCAATTCCGGTACACCATAAGCTGTAATTTCGTAAGCGTTGGATTTATCCCATGGCTCACACGTCAAATCGTGAGATGCTAATGGTACATTAGCAAACAATGATTTAACATTGTATATATCTATAAAATATACTTTTAATTGCCATAGTGTAAAATACAATGCAATTCCAAAGAACCAAATTTTCCGTGCAAAAACCAAGAAAGTGGCTGCAGTGAAAGATACACGTATAATATTTATATTAATTTTTAATTATTCTTAATATTTCCATAAATTTTTCATCTGTAGCTTTATTTGGACATCATTTTTTTTCATTTCTTCAAAAAATTTTCAAATTTTTAACTGCATATATTTAATAAAGTTTGCGCGGAATGAAATAAGGAACAAAGTATTTCATTTATTTGCATTGTGCATTATATTTAAAATTAGAGTTAAATTCCTTGTATAAACGAATACGGTTCTCCCATAGACAAATATACGCTTATGTTTATCTATGGGATTATTATAGGCGTAGTTAGAACGGATTTAGAGCGCACGAATGGTATGCAGAAAGCTACAATTGTGTCACTCCCTTTGCGATTTCACAAGTGGTTACCGGATTTATATGTGTGTGTGTGCATGTATGTGCGTCTATGGTACAAAAATGATACAATCTTGGTGATCAAAGTATGTAATTTTCTGTTCTTTTATTAATTTTCCTTTAAAGCAACTGCAAATCTTTTTAGCAAAAAAGTGGAGCAATCTCAAGAAATTTTAATTGATCTTTAACATAAATAGGAAATCTGTTGGGATATCTCAATTAGTACACTTTAATTCAAATTTTCTATAATTTAGACTTTATAAAACTTATCTGTTTATATCATTTTCTAAATCTTTTCTTTTTTTTTAATTAATAATTATTGATAATGGGAAATTAAATGTACATGTCGATTGTTTGTAAGTAGAAAAGCAAATATTAAAAGTTATATAATATATATTAGATTTATTGATTTACAATAATCTATACTTGAAATTTTCTAATTTTTCGAATATTTTAAGTCAAAATTTACAAAATTAATCAAAAGCAACAATTTTATAAATAATTTTTATTATTATTTTAAACTATGTTTACGTTTTCAAATCATTACACACATATTGCTAACTTTTCTTTTATTTCTATCGGGGAGAGTGTACAGCATTTTGCGTCGTACTTCGATAACTGTCCAACTGTGACAATCGAAAATATCCTTTTACAATGTTTTCCACTTTCTTGAATTGGCATGACCCCTTTCACAAAACGTCACTAACAACCAATATTACATGATTACTGATAACACAATGCGTTGGAAATATTCGCTTATATATTTTCCGTTACACATGTCTAACGAAGGGGAAAGGAGAGCACTTCCTATATAGTAGGAAGAGGAAATCATAGTAGAACCATGTAATGTATTTCTGCAAAGTGGAAAGAATTACCACTCATACGTACATATATTGTTATTTATATTTCTTATAATATTAATAATATTAATAAAATAATGATGAATTTATGACATTTAATCTCAGATTTGAATCAAATTATTCTATTTAGTCTTTCATTTAGTTCTTATTGTTTGTTTTATTAGTTTTATATGATTTAATTATTCTGTAGCACATACAATATTTTGACGTAAATCTAAGCTAGAAAATCTTTTTCTTACAATTAGACTTTCGTAAAATTTTGCTGACCTAACGTACATTTGAAATATTTCACATTTGTGGATTTCACACGTATATTACATTATGAGTTACGTGGATGCCCGTTTTTCAACACCTTTGATCCTCTTTCTTGGCTGGCTTACCGCCAAGGGCGGGATCGTAATACTAGCATAGAAGCGAACGAGCTTGTCCTAGAACGATTTTAGTGCGTGTACTTTCACTTGGTAGCGCCTTACATGATATAGCGTGAAAATGATGCGCTCTTATAACTCTCGCTTACCGCGTGTAGTCTCAGGTGCAGTCAAAGAAACGAGTTAATTAAATTCCGTCGGCAGATCCACTTAATTACGTATTTGGAACGAAGTTTTCCTGAGATTTTCAAATCGCGGAAGGAGCTGAGATTTCGCGAGAACAATGATATGCTACTGATTCTTCCGTAAAAATAATTTTACGTAATTTTACATAGAATCATGAAGATACTTATTTATTTTATAAAACTTTTCAAGTTGCAGTTCATAAATTATCCTGAATCATATATGGCTACCATGAAATAGTTTTATTACATGCAGCAAATCAATTTTCTAAGAAAGCGTGCCTCCCAGCTCACGAAAGGAGCGAGGAAAGTAACATCTGTTCTCTCCGTGAAAGAGAGGCGTTACCACTCGCGATGCACCCGTCGCGTCGCCCGTGACGCGGAATTTTCCAACCGTTCCGAGAATTCCTGCATTCTTGTTAAACAATAGATCCTCGGGCTACTACACACTTTCTTCTTTCCTTTTCTTTTGCATTAAGTCCCCGCGATCTTCCTGATTAAATGCCCGCGAGATTTAAGTACGATCGTAAATTGTCTTCCGTAATATTGACCACAGTTCTGCCTCGCTTTTGCGAGAGATAGGAAACTAGCCGACCATATGACCGTATTAAAAGGGAAATTTCATGCGGGCATAGAAACCCACAGCATGAAACGACGCGCGTTGACCGATGTACATACTTATCGTCGGCGTAACGAATTTAATCGCGACGTTTTAGCCAACGTGGACTCTAAACGGTCTGTATGACGTTGCAGTCAACGTTGCGCTTCTCTGTAATATTCTCGGATAGCGTGATTTATGTACCCGAGACATTA